GCCGAGAATTGAGGTGTCGGCGCAGAGGCAGTAGCTTCCGTCCTTACAAAACCCACACGAGTCCTTGAAGGCCACGGGAGGCAGCTGGGGTTGGGGCTGCACGATGGCAAGGTTCGCTTGCTGGTGCTGGTGCTGTTGCACCTGTTGCACGGGTGCCTTCTTGGAGAACATGGCGGTGAAGTCAATCTCCGTCTCCTCCTCAGGCGGAGTGGGCTCGACGCGGGCACGCTTCTCGGAGGATGTCGGCGCCGAGGGCGAGGGAGCTCTCTTTAGATCCGAGATGATGGCGCTTTTGATAGTCTCCTCAAGGCACTGGCATCTACCTCCGAGAGTGCATCCGCCACATCCTGTGACGGTGTCGGCAAGAATTTCGTTGGCACAGGAGCATCCTTCAGGGCCGCATGACCCGCATCCAAACGGGGCAGGAGAGTCTTCCATGTGAGTTGAGTCTTGGGGAGAGACGATCTGTGAGATGGAAAAGGGCTGGTTTGCGTGGCCAGCCGATGGGGTGGGGGGATGCTCGTGGTGAGCGATTTGGGAACCTCGGCGCTGGGGAGACGGCAGGCGTCTCGGGGCGGCGACGGCCTGCTGCTCGTTCCAGCGTCTCTTCTGACTTTCAAGTTCGGACTCGGCCTTGACACGATCCTTTCTCTCGCGATCCAGCATATTTTCGAGAACGAGGCAGCGGGACTTGAAGGACTGTAGCTCCATCTCGAGGCCGTGGACCTTGTCCTTGAGGTCTTTTTCGACCTTTTCGTGACCTTCGCGGATCTCATCTAGTTGTTCCTCCAGCTCGCCAACTCTGGCGGCCCTACGCTCGCGGAATGCCCTCTGAGCGGCACGGTTCTGGGCCTTGCGCTTGGTGGGTGGCGTATCGGTGGCAGGCTTGCGGCCGGGCTTGGGCCTGGGAGGTATGACCCATTCCTTGGTGGTCATGGACATCTTGGGCGCCTCTGTGACGGGCGGGGGACTGATTACGGAGGCCATGGACATTTTGTTCACGACCTGAGGCGGCCTGGCTGAGATGGGTTGCTGTGCAGCGTTCGGTCTGATGGCAGGTAGTTGGTGCGGGGCGTGGGAGGCATTTGTCGGTCCGCTCGGATTTGGTGTGGAAGGACCGCCGGGTGTGCTCGCGGCAGGCGAAGCGGCGGAAACGGGGGTCGAGACAACCGAGTTGGAGCGAGATGCGGCCGAGTAGACGCTTCGGGCGTCGGTTGCGGGAGGTGAGGTGACGGGAGAAAAGGTCGACGACGAGTGTTGCTGCTGCGACGTCTGGTTGTGGGAGGAGGAGGAGGAGTTGTTGGTGGTGGTGGTGGTGGTAGATGAGGAGGGAACAGTGGTGGAAACACCTGAGGCGGCCATCTTGGTGGATCGGAAGAGGGACGACCTAACGAGCAGCAGTGTTCCGCAGGCGGGGTCCGCTAAGGCCGCTCATTCGCTGTCAGGTGGTGGGATATCGCCGCTAACAGCTGGTAGCCAGTTGGCGGGGTGTGGGTTGCTAAGGTTTTTGCCAGCTGGTAAATCCGAGGGTGCGGTTCGGCGCTCTCTCGGCTCTTGAGATCTGATAAGAAAATGGGACGAATTGATGGTTGTAAGACCGAGACGTGCTGAATGGTGCTGGGTCTTCTGTTTTTTCCTGTTCTTGTGTCCTTCTTCTTGTTCGTCTTTTAGTTGTGATGCTTGCTTTCCTGTTTGACTGATTGACCTGTTCGGAGAGCAATCGGCGCTGTATAAGTTGATATGATGCTACTGTTTGGCGATCTGGGCTGATGCCGAGCAGAATCGAGCAGATACCCCTACAGCGAGATGCACAGCTGATAGGTCTGTCTGTTTGTCTGTCTGCGCTGTACGGAGTAGTGTTATGCAGACGGGCGTGGTGGTGCGCGCGTGTTGCCGAGTGGGTGACAGAACAGACACTGTTCCGGAAGATGATGTCGGCAGCGAGGTTCGGATAGCTGACTTTGTTGTAATAGGTACTTGGCTGTGTAAGTGAGGCCAGGAAATAGAATCGTCAAGTCGGTATGTGTAAGTGGGAGAATCAATGTTGATGAGGTGAAGATATGTTTGGATTGCGGGCTTGTTCCTCTTTCTTCCGACACTTCGGAGGATAGTGGGGAGGAAGGAGGGGATTGGAGCGACAGCGCGGAACTGGACAGTGGAGGGGGAAAGGGCCCAAGGCGAAGGGGGAAGGGGGGGAGGGCGACATTCAAAAAGGAATTTTTGATCTGATTGATAAGATTATCTTGCTCGCAAGGCCCCCACCAGGGCCTGCGCTAGCCTTTTTTTCTCTTTTTTTTTTTTTTTCTCTCTCTCGCTGTTTCCTACCCGGGCACTGCCTGCCAGAGGTACGTCGCCTTCTCACTCGCCCGGTCATTACCCACTCATTTCATCCATTTCACTCACTCACTCACTCACTCACAGTCTCACGCAGACCTCAGTCACAGTATTCTCACACTCTCACTCACTCGGAAAATGCCCCCGACATCCGCACAGTAAATGCACTACTCTCACTCATAGTTTTTACTCACTCTCAGTGTCTCGCACAAACACACACTCCAGCCCACACTGGGGAAATCGTTCGATGGCTCCTGTGGCTTTCCGGCTTCCATCCCCATTCCGACCCTGCGATCTCGGACCTTGTTTCTTGGGCTTGGCTGGCCACAACACACTATGAATGTTACTATGTAGGGACTTTCAGGGCTACACAGCCCGGCTTCTCCCACGGATCACTGCCCTGGTTGACTGCGCGATCCACCATCGATGGGCTTTGATCCCCTTGATGGCTGAGTTTCCATGTCGTAACACCCATCCATGCCAGCCTCTCACTCTTCCGTTAACTACCTACCACTTGACTCTGTGTCTTTTACTCTGCGTGGGTGCCAAGCGTAGCCACATCCCGAGGGAATTGATCTCAGGGTCTGCCGATGTCGCTGCCCTTGCCCACCGGGCGAGTGCATGATGTGCGTGACCAGTGATGACCGTGGGATAAAGTTGCATCTAATACCACAGTGTAGGACAGGCCTGTCGCTCCATCAACAAATGAGAGCGGCCCTTTGTCCGATGACTCCCTCGTAAGCCGAGACGCCCGTGGTTCTACTCTAAATCTACCTTGCAGTACTCCGTAAGGCATGAGTAAACAACCGTAAAGACAAAAACCAGCGGGGGAAATCAATTTGACACAAAGTTTGATGAGGCTTTTCGGCAGTGTCTACGGAGTGCAAAAGCGAAGACCAACGAGTCAGGATCGCCGAGGTCTTGATTGAACTTGCACAATGCAGTCGCATAAAATACACACAATCAATGGCACCGTAAGATCTGTATCCATCCAGTAACTTGAGCCGAAAAAAAAAAGGTACCTGATAATCGGGGATTTATGCCTCAATGGAACCTGCTTCAGGTGTCACCGCCAGTCGTCCAATGGCCTTGGAGCAGTTCATCAGGGAGATCAAGAGGTACTTGATAAGATGTCACCACCCACCATCGCCTCCAGCTCCAATCCGTATTACCTGCCTGCATCCTTCATCCCACTCACACCTCGTGTCACTCGCCCGTCATTGGGCCATTTGATCTCTCACCCCCCGAACCCCCAGCCGCCGCTTCCTTTCTGCAGGCTCACATGAGACGCTCATTTTTTTCCCAGTCTACTTTTAAGGCTTAGGAGAATCGCTTGAAACGTCTGCTTTCGGGATCGTCTACACCCTGTCTCCAGTCTCCCAGTCTCCATTGCTGTATGGATACTATTGACGAGCCAACCACCCGTGACCCAACACTTCCCACTTCGTGACTGTGCGTAATCAGATCGGCCCTTCATCCCACATAGGCTGATCTCAAGTGGAGGGCCCCGGAAGTGGGTGATGGGAGGGTGCGAGCCACGCGAGAAAAAAGAGCAACATTTACGTACATCGTGGAGTGCTTCAGAGCCAGGTATCCGTAGGTTGGTACTACAATGCTACCCTTACTGGACCCGTCCGTCTATGGCTGCCGCGGTACCTCGCATCTCACGAGGTTTGACGGCGGCAATAATCGGCTCGCACTAATTACACGAACTTGTCTTTGGCTGACAGGCTGGCCCAAGGGTGGACTCCGAGAACGCTTTGGCTTCACAAGGGATCCCCTTCTTACGAGGCAACGCCAAGCGCAGCGGGCACTTCGGCCTCCGTCTGTTTTTTTTCCAAGTCCAGTTGAGCTCTTCACAACGGGAATGTCGTTTATCCTAGCCGCTTACCTGAGGTGACTACCTGTTATGCTCTACACAAAGCAGACTTCGAGGAGTAACTGGGTGAGCGCGTCTTGAATAATGACTTTACTGTCTCTCGCCAATGACCGCATCAGAGATGATGATGTGCGGTCATCGTCGTAAGAGCCGAGCAGATTGATCGCCGCATCGTCACGGCCAGAGAGACCGCAGGGTTTGGATTTATCCAATCCCAGCACCGACTCCATCTCTGAACCAACTCTCCGTTGTGACTATCTCTCGCTCACTCGAAATCCTCATTCAAGACTGGTCAAAGACTTAAAAGTGACCACTTGGGTTGTTTGAAGGTTGCGCAACCGTGTCCACATTGCAGTGAGAACTGTGGGAATCCTGGCGGGGGCTAGGTACCTTACCTCAGTTACTTCACTACGTGTGGCCCACGCACTGTTCAACCACTTCCAATTCCCACAGTGACCCCCGCGAAACTCAAGCTGTGGACCTCTGAGAAAGCTGCGTTAAGCTATCCGTACCTATCCAACTCCATCCCGCCCAAAATCGACCAACAGCTGCAATTCGAACCACCCACCTCTCGACAGCAACGCTCCTCAACAATTCCCGATCCCGGTCCCCTAGCTTCGAGATAGCTACCTTGCCTAGATTTGACGTCGCTTTTGCTCCGAGCTACGACATCTCTGCGCCGAACCTCAACCACCGAGCCGCCGTCGCCATCTGAAAGGCTGCAAGCACAAACCAACCAACCCAACCCCAAAGCAACGGGCAAACCGGCGAACCACACACAGAAGCAATGGCCAATCTCGGCATCCAATCGCCAACGCGGCAAACAGCAGCCTTCCACCTCCCCTCCTCATCCTCCTCCTCCGTCGCCTCCGGCTCCGGCTACGAAGACGACGACGCCCCGCTCCCTTTCCCCGCCGCCCTCCCGCGATCCGACTTCCTCGCTCCCGGCTTCCACCCGGCAAACTACCTCTCCGCCCTCCCGCACCGCCACCAGACCCTCGACGACCTCAAAGCAGAGCTCCGCGACCGCAGCGCCGCCATCAGCGCCGAGCTGCTGGAGCTCGTCAATGGGAACTACACCGCCTTCTTGTCTTTGGGCAACGAGCTGCGTGGCGGCGAAGAGAGGGTTGAGAATGTGCGTGTTGCCATGCTCGGGTTCCGGAGGGCCGTGGAGGAGATCAAGGGGAAAGTGAGGACGCGCGGGGAGGAGGTCCAGGGGTTGAGCGGGGAGTTGAGAGAGGTAAGGAGGGGTATTGAGACCGGGAGGAAGATGCTTGAGCTGGATGAGAGAGTGTCTTCGCTCGAGGAGCGGCTTTCGCTTGCGAGTCTGCCTGGGAAGGCAAAGACGGGTGACGGCGGCGAGGGAGAGGAAGAAGATGATGACTGGGACGCGGATGATAGCGAGGAGTCTGACGAGGAAGAGGATGATGATGATGTGGGCGGGCTGGTGGGTAGCAGCCCTGCGAAGCTGGCTGGCTTTACGCAAGACTTTTGCATCGTCGAAGCTCTGGCGGACGCTATTGGAAGGGATACCCCGTTTGTGGTCAAGGCTGAGGCTCGAATGGTGAGGTGTCGGAACACAATTCTCCTGGATCTCGGCACGGCGATGAAGGAAGCACGCAAGGCGGGCAAGAAGGGCCAGGCGAGGACAGTCAAGTACTTGGGCTTGTACGGATTGCTTGACGCCCAGGCTGAGGCGATCAGGGCCCTCAAGAGCAGCTGAGCCGATCGGAGCAGCAGACGACGAACAGAACAAAAAGGCCAGCAGTCACAGAGTAGCGATGCGTATGATACCCAAATTAAAGTCTCCAAACATGTTCTAGAGCGCTATGCCACTTTGATACACGTGTAATACAAACACCTATGATACAGTTCATCTAAACACCCTTCCCTTTTCTTTTTGCCCTTTTTTCATCTGGATTTTATACATCTTTACATGACGTTGGAGAGGTGAGCCGGCGTGACCTCCTCATCTGTAGAGTCAAAGTTTCCGTTCAAGCTGAAGCCCGGAGCCTGGGAGGAGCTCAGCACAACCTCGTGAACCTCCTTGTGCGTCTCGAGCTCCGCGAGATCAGACTTGATGCTGGCCACAAACGCCTTGACGTTGGCAGACAGCATCTTGGGCGTGAAACCGAGCTGCCCGATAGCCATACGGATGACACCGGTACGCTCGCGGTAGTTGTCGGCGCCCATCGTCTCACGGATGGCGCTGGAAATGTTGTCGGTGATTGTCTTCATGCGACGGTTGGGCATGAGACCCTTGGGGCCGAGGATGCGGCCCAGGGCGGCCTTGTTGAGCGCCGCCTCGCTGTCGGTGTGGCAAATGAGCCGGTTGAAGACAATGTTGTCGTTCTTGATGGCCTCGAACACGGACTCCTGGCCCGCGACGACGGCGCCGGCTTGCAGGGCCTGCTGGGCGATGGGGCTTCCTTCGGGGCAGATGACTCCGACGCGGATATCGGACTTGACGGGGTTGGGGAGGCGGATGCGGTTCTTGACGACGGCGCCATTTCTGGGCGTCTTGAGGTGGACGTGGATCTCGTACTTGATGGACTGGGGAGGGCGGCCGACTTCGAATGCGCGGAGGTAGCTACGTCGAGGTCAGTTGGAAGAACCAATTGGAAGACATCTTTTGCACAGGATATACACACCGCATGGCATCGCAAAGAGAGAATTGAGGGCAGTTCTTGACGTTGTAGGTCTTGAAGTCCTTGGAGAGCTTCTTCTTCTTCTTGTCCGTCTTCTTGTTCCCCCCCTGGTTACTCGCGCATCGTGTCTGCTGAGCGACGGAAGGGATGAGGAACCGTGGTATCGTGGAGGCTGTCGGTCTTGCTGAAGCTGAGAGACTGAGCCGGGCCATTGAGGCCATGCACTGGTTCGTTGACGCCATCACGGGGCTCTGGGTATCTGTGATCTTTTTGGGGTTGCTACGCCAGAGCTGACCTCGGATCGTCTCGCGTGAAGCTCTGGCCAAAGACTGCAGAAAAATTGGTATGGCCTAACCGCTCAGGCACAAGGTCGGTATCTTATCGGCTATCTTATCGAGCTGTGGTGCCCACACCTCCCGGTCACCTCCAAAAAGGTACGTATCTACGACCGGTCCGGTCCCGGTGTGAAGATACGTACACTTTGCCTCGAAACACACCATTGTCATCAGAGCTTTACCTTGGATGAAGAGTCATAATTAGTTGCCATCAGTTGAAAGGCTTTCAAGAAACTTGGAAAGATGTTTATATAAGGTGCAATCATTTTCATTTAATTTCTGTCAAGTGCATCAACTATTTCGTGACTACGGGAGAGAAAGAGCCTTACGAAGCTATTAAACATTGAGGTACCTCAGACCACAACGACTTACAGGAGAAGCTCCTCGCTGTGCCACCAATCAGACCGTCTCGGCCGAGTGCTCTCGGTGAGTGCGCCGTCATGTTACCCCTCCATGATTTTTAACCCCACCACGAAATATCAGCCACTTTAAACATTTGACTCACGAGACACCAGGACCGTCCTGACCACCGATTCCCTCCGATAGTCTCATCGCCTCAATTGGACCAAACACCGCCATCATGAAGGCCGAGGAGCTCCAGACCCTCCCCACCGCCCTGGCCGGCGACTTCAAGTCGATCGAGCCTCACCTCCGCGCCCTCGACAAGCACCTGACGCTGCGCACCTTTGTTGAGGGGTACTCGCTGGGAGAGACCGAGACCAAGATCTGGCAGACCCTGAAGCTGAACAAGGTCGCTATGGGCTTCATTCGCAAGGGAACTATGGCCAACCTTACTCGTTGGTGCGTCGTGATTCGTGCTCCTAGCTTCAATCAATGTCCATCCCGCGCTAACTCGCGTTGCTAGGTTCACCTTTGTCGAAGTCACCTACCCCGAGATCCAAGCCGAGACGAACGCTGTCGATGCTGAGCGCAAGGCCAAGGTCGTTGCCGCTAGCAAGAAGGGTGCCAGCTACTCTCTTGCTCTTCAGAACGCCGAGGCCGGAGTTGTCACCAGATTCCTTCCCGAGCCTTCGTTGGTCCTCCCTCAAAACATTACCTGATAGACAACCTCCTAACCATGTAACAGAGGATACCTTCACATCGGTCACGCCAAGGCCGCCCTTCTCAGCGATTACTTCGCCCACGAGGCCTACAAGGGCAAGCTTCTGCTGCGTCTTGACGACACCAACCCCGCCAAGGAGAGTGAGGAGTTCCAGGATGCTATTGTTGAGGACCTGAAGATGATGGGCATCACCCCCGACTCCCTTTCCTACACTTCCGACTACTTCGACTATCTGTACGAGACTTGCATTCGCCTGATCAAGGAGGGTCACGCCTACGCCGACGACACCGAGCAGGAGACGATGCGAAACGAGCGAACCGATGGAATCGAGTCCAAGTGCCGTAACCGCTCCGTCGAGGAGAACCTGCGCATCTTCGAGGCCATGAAAGAGGGCACCCCCGAGGGCCTGAATAACTGCATCCGTGCCAAGATCTCCGTCGACAACGTCAACAAGGCCCTGAGAGATCCCGTCATCTACCGCTGCAACGTTGAGAACAAGCACCACCGCACCGGTGACAAGTGGAAGATCTACCCCATGTACGATCTCGCCTGCCCCGTCGTCGACTCTCACGAGGGCGTCACCCACGCCCTGAGATCGACCGAGTACACTGACCGTAACCCCCTTTACCAATGGTTCATCGACACCCTGAAGCTGCGCCAGGTCTACATGCACGACTTCAGCCGTATCAACCTCGTCCGCACCTTCCTTTCCAAGAGAAAGCTCGCCAAGATCGTCGCTCAGGGCACCGTCTGGGGCTGGGACGACCCTCGTATGCCCACCATCCGTGGTGTGCGCAGACGCGGTATGACCATCCCCGCCCTCCGCGAGTTCATCATCAAGCAGGGCCCTTCCCGAAACGTCGTCAACATGGACTGGGCGTCGTTCTGGAACATCAACAAGAAGGTCATTGACCCCATCGCCCCCCGCCACACCGCCATTCTGGAGAAGGATGCCGTCAAGGTCAAGGTCACCGGTGCCGACGCTCCCGCCACTCCTCGCACCGAGGACAAGCCTAAGCACCCCAAGAACCCCGATGTCGGCACCAAGAAGGTTGTCTTCTCCAACGAGCTCATCCTCGACCAGGCCGACGTCAAGAGCTTCAAGAAGGACGAGGAGTTCACCCTCATGGGCTGGGGCAACGCCTTCGCCCGCGATATTGGCACCACCGACCCCATTACCGACCTCAGCGTCGAGCTCAACCTCAAGGGCGACTTCAAGACGACCGAGAAGAAGGTCACGTGGCTGTCGACGGCCGGCACCAAGCTCGTCAAGGCTGAGCTCTGGGACTTTGACTATCTCATCAACAAGGACAAGCTCGAGGAGGACGACGTGCTTGAGAAGGTGCTCAACCCCAACACGTCGACCATGGAGACGGCGCTGTGCGATGCTGGTGTCGGTGAGCTGAAGAAGGACGACATTATCCAGCTCGAGAGACGGGGCTTCTACCGCGTGGACAAGGGTCTGGATGAGGGTGACGTGGTTGTTCTGTTCAACATTCCCACTGGCAAGGCCAAATAAGTTATTTCGCTTTTTCATTTGTAGGAAGATTCAGGCCATGAAAGACATGAAGAATTGAAGTATGAAGTAAAAGCATGATCTGGTCACTGTGACTCTTGAAGCCTCGTAACTGTATGCGTACTAAATATCGCAGAAGATACATTCCTGTGAAGTGTTTCGTCATCTAGTGCTTGTTGTGTGTCGCTCCATAGTTTTATCATGCTAGGCACAAACAAAGACAAGCAGAGTCACACGTTTCGCCGAGGAATGAATATCTAGAGAGAATGAGATCGATTTCGAGACTATCGCTTCTAGTGTTGGAGTTAGGTTACATGTCTGCATTCTATTTACTCTTCCTTGCATCAGCAGTATATTGTCAGTGAGAACCATAGTTGTATGGACGGGGAATTTGCGCCCGAAAAGTAAGAAATGTCTGTTGCGTGTCCTGCAGACCCCTGAGCAGTGAATGGCGAGCATGGAGAGACAATCAGACCATTCGCCTTCATCAGCTAACTCTAACCCCAGACATTCATCCCCGCGATTGAGGCGGCCTAGAACGTTCATTATTCTCACCCCACTGCTTCCCGCATGACTTCTGCAAGGATCGCCAATCGTGGGGTCTAACACTGACAGCCAGGTGGGTTGGGTTGAGCCGTTGGTGGCTAGCCTCGGTGACCCAACAGCTACCTCGATCCTCGTGCCTCGAAGCTGCCTGATGACGAGCAGCTTTGTACACTAGACTGAGAAGCCATTTACTGAATGTTTCGAACTCTACTGGACCGGCTCATTCATGTCTGGCTTCAGTCTGGATGTACCGGCTTGAGGACACCGGTTCCGGTCCGGTTGTAGAATCCGCGCACCAAATTATACATGTCTGGGAGCCTACCCAGCCAAACGACTCTTCACCTCGTAATTCCCCAGAATAATAAAGGCGTAGTCCTTCGATGCAGCCGAACCGGAAGCGTGGGGCGACATTTCCGGCCAAGATCGGGAGAAGCTCCCATCGTGCCACGAAGCGTACCTGATCTCGCCTCATCCTCACACCGACACTCTTGCATGAGATTCCACCAATCCTCCACCAGTGTCTTGTGCCACTTTATATAGATGCTATATACGTGACAATTTTTCTTGGGATTTGCAATCCTGGAAATCAGGGTCACTTCTTGATAACCTTATCAGACGCCGAGTTGTACACGTATCTTGCTGGAATCTCGCATTATCTCCTGCAGCTAATGAGCTACCCTAGTCCACCAATTCACTACCGCTCTTTATTAAGGTCAATCCCGTCCAAGTCAACTCAAGCTCTTCGGGAACGAGACCCCCTCTACAAGAATTTCAGGAACACATACCCAACTTCAGTCAAAATGGCCGAACCCAACAATACACCCTGGCCCCCAGCAACACCACAATCTCAATCCCCTCTCTCCGCGTCGCCTGTCCTCCGCCCCCATCCTGGCGGTCAAGTAGAACCCAAAACGGCAGCATCGCAAGCATCAGCAGCAACGAAAAACGGCACGCATAAGCTCCGCGTCCTACACATCGGCGACCCGATCAAGTACAACCCGGAAACCTACGCCGCCTTTTCCGCGCAATGCGACATCATCCGCCCCTCGACGCCCGAACGACAGCGCCCCGCATTCGCTGCCGCATTACGGGACGGCAAGTGGGGCGAGTTTTCCGCCGTCTTCCGGCCTTTCTGGGGCACGGGCGGCGAGATGGGTACGTGGGACGCCGAGCTGATTCCGCTGCTGCCGGCGAGCTGTCGGGTTTTTGCGAGTGCGGGTGCCGGGTTCGATTGGGCTGACACGCAACTTCTCGGTGAACGAGGTGGGCCTTCCCCCTTTTCCCAGGTCGCTCTTTATTGAGTGAAACATATCAGATATGATTTGGGAATACTAACACAAAAAGGCATCATCTATTGCAACTCAGGCCTCGCCGCCGCCGAAGCAGTAGCAGACTTTGCCGTCGCTCTTGTCGTCTCGACCTTCCGCCATCTCCCCTGGTGCACGGCATCCGCCGCAGACCCGTCCGCCTTCCAAGACTGCCACGCTCGCGCCACGGCCGCCTCGCACACCCTTCGCGGCCACGTCCTCGGCCTCGTGGGCATGGGTAACATCGGCCAGCAGATCGCGCAGCGTCTCGGCGTCGGTTTTGGTATGAAAGTACACTACTTTGACGTCGTCCGCAAAGACCCAGTCACCGTGGAAGCCAAGTTTGGCGCGACGTTTCACGAGACGATGGAGAGCTTGCTGCGCGTCTCGGATTGTGTTGTGCTATGCACACCTGCTGGTGGTAAGGTTATCACTGCTGAGTCATTGGCTTGGATCAAGCCTGGGTCGAGGTTTGTGAATATCGCAAGGGGTAGCTTGGTTGACGAGGAGGCTTTGGCGGATGCGTTGGAGTCTGGGCAGATTGGATCTGTTGCGTTGGATGTGCATGCTGATGAGCCGAGGCCGCATCCGCGGTTGCTCAAGATGGCGGGGACGAAGGCCATGTTGACATGTCACAATGCTGGAGGGACGGTTGAGACGCACAAGGGGTTCGAGGAGTTGAGTATGAGGAATATCATGGCGGTGTTGGGGGGAGGGCAGCCGATTACGCCTGTCAATCTGCATTATCTGAAGCAGTGAAGGGTGAGGTAGAATACGACTTGGTCTGTCTTTCCTTGGAGTCAAATAAGCTGCATAGAGGGTTTGATCTTTGCAGGAGAGAGAAGCTACTTATTCAACTTGAATGATGATACATACGACTTAGTACCCGCAAAGTTATTGCTGACTTACATGACGGCTAGAGCAATCATGTTCATATCGTGGACTTTGAATCTAGAAGAGAAGCAAAACATATCGAAGGTGAGTCCCCGAAAGAGGTTTGTTCATAGGTTCGGAAAACGCGAGTAAGGACCTCGCATATCCGCTACATAGGCATTATTTTTGGTGAGACATTGATCTCAAGTATCCTGTTCAACTTGATTAGACCTTGATCTCGGTTGTTCAGCTCGCTCAGCCACTCAAACTAGCTTCCTCAGCCCAACGAGGCTGCCTTGCGTGTCTGCCTGGAGATGGTGAGCAAAAGCCTGTCTTTCAGGCTTCAAAGGGAGCCCTGTCCCATGCCTTAAACACACGCCTCGTAGTAAAGCACATCAAACTTGTTCAGTGGCAAGGACACGACGAATCTTGCGAAATATAATGGCAAACATTCAGAAGTATACTGAGCGCAGCAATGTGCAAAGCAATCCAACTGATTGGATCGCAAAGCTGCCCGATCCGAAAACCCACATTCGCCTGCTCACGATCCTCTCAGGTCGACAGACAGAGGAACTTCGTTGTACCTGCAGCACTATCAGACTTGATGACAGGCCAAAGTACAACGCCCTGTCGTATGTCTGGGGCAACCGTGAGGCAAAGGCTCAAGTAATTGTGAACGGCGTTCAAGTTACCATCAACAAGAGTCTGGCAGGAGCTTTGAGACGTATCCGCCATGATCGAGAGCCAATTGTTATCTGGGCAGATGCTCTTTGTATCAACCAAAATGACGAAGACGAAAAGAAGTATCAGATCGATCTCATGCATCGCATCTATGGCGAGTGCGAGAATTGTTTGGTCTGGATGGGAGACATAGTAGTGAAAGGGGATAGCAGCGTCGCAGCGGAACTGGCTGCAAGAGCGGCCTTGAACGCTTTGCGCATCATCGCAAGGCAGCCACACGACGAGGATCTCGGTTGGCCTGGACAGAACCCAATTGCTACAAGCGTTGCTGGCAATGGTCTCACCGCCGGGGCAGCATTACAATCGATGATGGACTGCGAATGGTGGCAGCGTATCTGGACAGTCCAGGAAGTCTGTCTGCCTCCGAAAGCCACGGTTCTCTGGGGACCACTCGAGATCAGCTTCCAAGCAATCATGGACGCAGCGAGCCACATGGTGCAACCAGATGAGCACCCGCAACGCAACAACATTTTCGATCTGTTCCAAGAGGGCACCGCTATGTACCCAAGGCTTCATACAAGTCCATACACGATACCCGTCCTCAGCATTGCTCACGCCAGACTCTGGAACCAGTCCAGAACCGACTCCCTGTATAGACTATGGCGGTTCCGAGACAGGAGGTCCACATATCCGAAAGACAAGCTGTTTGGCATCTGGGCGCTTCTCAACAAGACATATTTGCCTGATATCAGGCCAACGGATTACGTCCTCGATATTGTGGTTTTATTCTCAAGACTCATGGTCAGTTTACTGAGATCTCTTGATAGCCTCAAGCCTCTTATTGGCTGGAGAGGGGAAAGAGAGACGGCCGGTCTGCCTACCTGGGTCCTGGATTTGGCCCAGCCGGAGGACTCTAATTGCACCAGCGATTTCTGGACACATGACATTGCCTGGAGGCAATTTCATGCCAGTAGTGGACTACCACGATTCAAGCCACCAGTCAAGCAAGCAGAAGATCTCACATTGCTCACTTTGGACGGCATTCGCGTTGACAAAGTGGCTACGATCTTGATGGACCTGAGGCACACGCGACGGTCCCTTTGGAGACAGGGATTTGAAGACGCTATCAAGGACCAAGCCGGTAAAGACGATATCATGTATCAATATAACAACCTTATCCAGGGCAAATTTGGCGAGAATCGTGAGCGCGTCACGGACGAGTCTTGGCACGGGGGTCCGTGGTGGGAGGACAGGATGCTCTGTTACCAAGTTCTTTTCATCACGCAGGAGAATCGGCTTGGCCTTGGTCCGCCTAATTTGAAGCCAGAAGACAATGTTTGGATTCTTTCGGGCGGGAACCATCCCTTCTTACTCCGTCAAGTCTCAAAGAGAAGGGGTAATGCGGACTTATGGGAATTCGTCGGGGATTGCTTCGTTTACGGCATCATGTACGGAGAAGCCTCTTCTGGTGGATTTCAGCTCTCGTCCGTAACCTTGTGTTGACGCCGCTCTCATGATGGTCTTACCATCGGTGCTTGGAAAGATCTCTTAACGTGTTTCTTCAGTCCTAGCTTTGGGGCATAACATTGGGTATGAGATCAAGATCTCATAAGACAATTTTACTTGGCGTCAAGGCTTGCCTTACAATGCAACAGCTGTGTCAAACAATAGGCGTCATTCGCTCGTGCAGCATCAACGACAGCGTAATTCTTGCGTTCCGTCTTCTAAACACTGTATTTTCAGCGGCCGTCTCCCAATGTCTTCTGAGAAACCTACAGACGATTGAGATTGCTGTGTGAGTCTTCACGTCGGAGCTTAGCTAGAGCATCCAATTACTTCATAGCGACAATCATTGATGATTATTATGTGAAATCCACGGGGGTTTCAGTGATGCGCATCTCACTCTTGAGAGACATCTCATTCAGTTTTAGTGCAGCAGAGGGAGGCGTAGGCAGATGACTGAGAATGAGGGGCAGCAGGCGGCACGTGCGCCAATGTTGTCACGAGCCTCAGCTCAAAGTGCGCTGAGCTGAGCTGAGCTGAGCGCAGACAGTGAGAGTTGGAATGAACATGTCGTGAACCAGACAGGAGACGGCATCATCTTGCGACTCTACGGACTCATCCAGAACATACTGACTACTCTGGTACCCTCATCGGTGCTGACGTCAACTATCATGGCCTCCTCAAAGCGCTGGCCGGCGCCCATCCACGTCTTCTCCTACCGCGCCCTACTCGTGGTGCCCATCATCCTCGCCATCGCGACCTTCGCGGCGCTCTTCATCCACTCCGATGTCAACGTCGCCCTCCTCTACTCACAATGCGATGCCCGGGCTCGCCTGCCGGCTGTCAGCAAAGTCCCCGTTCTCGGCCCGCCCGTCTGCTTCGCCATAAGCTTCTTCCAGAGCGCGCTCGATTCCATGCGGACCTTTGCCAGCATGTCCGCCATCCTCTCCTTCATCGCAGGCCTCATGACCGTTACCACCATCGAGGCCGCACGCGTCTGTAACGCGCCCAACGTCGTTATTGCGAACCCCACTGGCCCATGGCTAGTTTTCAACCTCATCGGTGGAGCTGTAGTCTGGCAGCTTGTCATCCTACCCGCCTTTTTCCACCGCTCGCGATCTATCCTGCTCGCTCGGAAGAGGGCCGGACAGGAGGCCGTCGAGAGCGCCGCATCCAAGGATCCCGACTTTGGCAAGGACTCGCGCCATCTCGTTGTCGATGCGGAAATTATCGCCATCCCCGTCAGTGTCGCGTGGGGCTTCATTCTGCCCTCCCTGCTGATGCTCATCTACAACTCCCCGGTCATCATCGTTGTCTGGCTCTTCTTTCCCGTCTGGGTGTCACTGATCCGCCAAGCCGTCAGATGGGCCGTCTTGCGTGTTCAGAAGCGCCAGCACCGCAGCTTCCACCTCGAGTCTCACACGGTCTCGCTTCTGCTCGTCTACCTCATCCCCATTCTTTGCTCCGCAGTCTCTCACGTCTACTTCATCTGGAGCCTGTTTCAGTGGGACGACAGGAAGGAGATGACACGTGCTACAGTCAAATTCGTTGAAATTGACATGTTCTTCATCGGCTTGACTGTCCTGTATTGGCTCTTCGTTGAGACTGGCTGGAAGGTCCCCTTGGTCGCAGTCCTTGGCGCCATCCCACTCGGACCGGGTGCCGGTATTTGTATCGCATGGATATACCGAGATACCGAGATTCGTGAGAGTCTGAAGCAGTGGCTTTCTGATGTCGTTGGAAGTCAAGAAGAGGCTAACGAAGAGGGCAGAGCTTCGGCTAGCGAGGAGACACCACTATTGCATTGATTGTGTGACGAGATAGCAGCAAGTAAATACAAGCCGACACTCATTCATCGCCGCGGTGACAGTTTTCCTTGCAATCATCTCCCTCGCATCTATTCCCATGCGTAGATAGCTTCTTTCCCGAGGAGTCTTTACAATGCCGAAGAGTCCGCCTTGGCCAAGCATTTCGGCATCTTGATCTACATCGACACTTCGGAATCACTACTCAACGAAAGATACACAAGATGCAAGCCCCCCCAACTCCTGATGTTCCCCGCCCAATCCTCAAGCAACGCCTTTCGTCCGGTTATGAGCGTCGGTATCTTTGTCTTGGCCAACATCACACGCACGATACCGTTGAGAAACATGGCACTACAGCCACTCTTCGAACTCTTCATACGCGAAACAGAATCCTGCGGGGGGAAAACTCACAAGGTGCATGTTCTCTCTCCGCACGATACCCCGCGGGGGCCCCAGATCTGTCCCCGGATCCTCGTTCAAGGTTAATTGGCTGGTGTCGATTGGATGCCAGGTCTAGATTTCTGTCTTGGTATCTGCCACCTCTATAAATATGGGTCAGCCATCGTAAAGGGGCGTCTTGGTTATCTGAGCCCATCAGCCCGCAAACGTGACGACGGACGACTTCACAAAGAATCGTGTTGATATCTCAGGCACATACCTTCTTCACCATGGGTTTCGCTTCAGCAAAGGGGACGAACGACCCCCCCGAGGTTCGCAACTGGAGAATCCACTTCATTGCTCTCGTTGCGTCCATGGCGGCCTTGTCCAGTAAGTGAGGTCTTGGGAGAACCCGAATATTCAGTTCATTGCCCTCTTTAACGCAATAGAAATCTGCAGTGGGCTATGATACGGCCGTCATAGGAGGCACAATGGCTCTCGACTCCTTCGTCCGCGACTTTGGCATCGACAAGATGACCATCCAAGAAAAGAATAATTCCTTAGCCAACATCGCCTCCATGTTTCAAGTCGGCGCCTTCTTCGGTGCTCTCCTCACCTTCCCCGTTGCCGAGAAGTACGGTCGCAAGAAGGCCATCATGATGGCGGCTCTCATCTTCTGTGTAGGCGGAGCCATGATGTCCGGAGCCAACGGCGACCTCAAACTTGTCATCGGTGGCCGCGCCATCGGCGGCCTTGGTATCGGCATGGCTACCATGACGGTTCCGGTCTACATCGCTGAGACGTCACCGCCGAGTATCCGCGGACGCCTCGTGGGCATTTTTGAGATCTTCTCTCAGGGCGGCGGGATGCTCGGGTTCTGGATCAACTACGGCACGAGCCGTACTATCGAAGTTGAGAATGAGGCGCAATGGATCGTGCCGCTGGCCTTACAGCTCCTTCCGGCCTTTCTTCTTTTCGTTGGCATCATGTTCTGTCCAGAATCACCCCGTTGGCTGGCTCGAGGTGATAACTTCGAGGCCGCGGAAAAGGTTCTGGTATACGTGCGAAGCCTCCCCGCCGATCATCCCTATATCCAAAATGAGATGAGCGAAATAAGACAACAAGTTGAGGAGCGAAGCACCGTTCGACTCAGCAAGAAGCAACAACTAAAGAAACTCCTTGCTCCTGGCACGAGAAACCGCGTGGGTGCTGGGACGTTTCTCATGTTTCTGCAAAGTTACACAGGTGTCAACATAATGACATACTATAGCGTTTACGGTAATGACTCTAAAGGACAACCATCTGTCTCTGTCCCCGTACCCGAGGCTGACACCCTAAATCAGTTTTCGAGACCCTTGGAATCACTGGAACCAGCAACAAGCTATTCAGCACCGGAATCTACGGGATCGCAAAGATGTTGGGCATGATTCTGTTCGCAGTATGGGTCATCGAGGGCCTCGGCCGTCGCAGCGGACTTCTATGGGGTGCTTTCGTTGGCAGCATTCCCCTCTGGTATGTGGGCGGGTATGTCATGGTTGCTAATCCGACCGCCAAAGCAGCGAGCGGTGTCATTCAACAAGATGCGTGGGGTTATCTTGCCATGGTCTGCATTTACCTCAACGCCTTCATCATCTGCTCCACTATCCAGGGAATCACGTGGACATACGCATCCGAGATCTTCCCCTTGGATATCAGGATGCTCTGTGTCGCTATGTCTACCGCGTGTACGTGGTTGGGCTCCTTCATTGTCGCGAGAGCCACTCCTTTCATGATTACCGACCTCGGGTACGGGACGTTCTTCATGTTTGGAGGATTCTTGATCTTTATCGGCGTTTGGTCATTCTTCTTCATTCCGGAGACAAAAGGTCAGTTCTATTTATCGCCAAGAATGCCTCTACGCTCATGTTTTATGCTGACAATCTTACCATAGGTCGCTCGCTGGAGGATATGGACATTCTGTTTTCGCGGCCGACACATATGGTTGTTTGGGCACAGCTCAGGGGAAGGCCGATCCTGTCGACGAATACTCCAATGTCGCCCAGAGGATCCATAGACAAAGGCGAAGTCAAGGTGGTTGACATGGCCTAGTGCGATTTCAACCACGGCATCCTCTCATCTCCAAGAAGAGTCTGTTGGCATTACTGACCGAAAGACGCTCTATTTATTACCACAAGTCCGCTTTACGCGTAGACACAAGCAATTAGGTCTCTTATCAATCTGCGGTTGACTTAGATGATACGTGCGTGGATATAGATCTTATCATAAGACCACTGTTCACGGCAAAGGCATGGCAGCGAAATGAATGAGGCAATGAAATCTTGTTGTTCGCCGATACTTTCAAGACATGATGGTCACCGAAGTCTTCAGGTGCCTAGACTACAAGATAGCCACTGCTGAAGGCGGGCTAGCGATCCCGCCAGGGATATCCAAAGGTACACTGACCATCATGAAGGACCATCTCTGGAGTTCTTTACACCTTACAGCGAGCCTCTCCAAATCGAAACTCTCTCCAATCGGCATGCCCCAACCACTCAGGAACACCTCATGCATGCTAACGCCCCATGGTTTTGGGCTCGGCCAGGCCTCGTACGCAACAGTATCCGAGGCCACCGCAGCAAACGCATGATCCCAGTGCCAGCGAATCGCCTCTTCGCTTGCTTCGACGCCACAACTTGCTCGCACTTGCCGTTGGGGTAAAGCAAGTTGTTCAGCGACGGTGAGCGCACGGTACGCCGGTAGCCAGCCTGTTCGGACTAGCAGGATGTCGCCTTGTTGAAACTCGATTTTCTGAGCGTTTGCTACGGCCTGGAGTTGAGACAGGGGAATGCCAAAGGTTGAAAATGGGTCAAAGGTGATGTTTTTCTCGGTTGCCCAGGAGTACCAGTCAAGTAGAACACCGCGGCCAGTGATGGACTTCCTTGCCATATCTAGTGAGCGAAGCGTTAGGAAGCGGTCTTAGAGACTGTGAAGGAAGCAGGACTTGGGCGTTGTTCTTCTTACTTTGAATACCGAGTTTAGTGTTGTTATCGGGCCCTGAAATATCATCTTGAGTCACGCCATTGTAATATTGAATATGCTCTTGGTAAGGATAATGTCGTGGCCCATCCCAATGCGTTGCGCCTTGCGTATTGATGGAGATCTGTTCCCGCAACTTGTTAGAGACTCGTGACCGCGAGCCATGGCTCAGAAGACTAACCTCGTCGTCATTAGCGTTGCCTTTTGGAATGATACGGTGTTCGCACGGCTTTCGAACTGGGTTCATTGGCTGTATAAAGGCATCCAATGGAAGACTGTTGTATGAGAGCTTGTTTAGCGCTGAAACTGAAGAGAGCTTTCACATGGCCTATCAAGTGTCCTTACTTGAGCGTTATTGTCTCGCCTATGACCACCTCACTCGTGGCATTCTTGACCAAAGCTGGGTTCAGAAGATTGAGAGCCCCGAGTTCATCTTCATCGCCCCATAATCCCCACGCCGATGCTTTCGGATCTCCCACATGGAGCGGCAAAGAGTCAAAGCTTGGCCGGGTGCTTACTTCGGTTGAATTAAAGTTGCCCATGGCTGAATCAGCTGGAGAAGACAGTGAATTCCCTTGTGTTTCAAACATCATTGTATCTATTCCAAAGAAGCTTTTAATAATGCCCAAGACTGAACATGCTCATAGGTAGACCGAGATCACAGGCCGAGGGTCAGCTGGAGATCGGCTTGGGGAGACCCGCAGGCTGCGACAAAGGAGTGACGGCGATCTCGGCAAGATCGGTATTCTTTCCGACTGACACCAACCCCCAACCTCCAAGTCCAAGGCAATTCGGCATGTTCTCAAATGCATCCGAATGCTCCGCAGAGAGGAACTCGAGGCCTCAACGCCTTCGGACAACCTCCGCCACGTTCACAATTCCGGGAGCTATGGGAACAAGCCAGCTTACCGGTATCCCACCGGCTTATCATCCCCTCTCCATTGAAAGTGGCTTCAATGTTACAGTATCAATTGTATTACAAAGTAGTTGACGGCAATATGCTAGCTTTCCCTTTAGAAGCCATCGAGGTGGGATCCAGATGGCCAAACTAGACTCGTGCCGGAGAACGACATGCCGGAATCGCCCAAGATGTGATCTGCAACTCCCCATGGGAACGCGTCCGGTTGAAATCCGGCCCCTGTATTTGTCCCACCGTAACTAACATCGTTACTCCAGCTACCCCCCTCCGTGAAGAACGCATTCTCATCTATCTCTGGATCAACAGCAGAAGAAAGCTGTGAGGCATTTTGTGCCGCCGGGTGATTTCTAGTCGAAGTGATATGACGGCCCATACTGCCTCTTTGCACACCACCCATTCGTGGGTTCAGTGACCCTGTCTGACGCGGCTCGACTTGATGGGAGTTCTTAGAAGAATTCGAGATAGCATTGTGTCTGCAATCCGAGTTGTTGCCAACGTCTACAACTCGGGGTTGCCCGTTGCTCAATAGCCGACGAATGGTATCGAGACTTCTTCCGCTTCCGGGGGTATGTGAAGCTTCCTGCTGGAGTATACGACATGCGGCTGCAAGCCTGGCTGCCGCGTTTTCTCTCTCGATACCAGTTGATGCTCTTTTCAGCTCTTCGGCTTCAACTGTAGCAGCTGTATATATGCAGTAGCTGACTTGATACGTCATTAGTCGATGAGGGAAAGTCGTTGAGAATAGTGAATGAATCGAGTGAATCTTCTTCGAATGGCGTACGCAGACCTCGAGCGCCTTCTCCTTGATTGTGGTGTCGAAAGAGCTCAAATACGGCCTTCTTAAGAGAATGTGTAGAGCATGGTAAAGGAGACTTCCTTGTGTCAAAACCGGGTCTACTGAGAGAGAGCGACGAGAACTTACTTCAATGACACAATATGTGGGGGAGGGCTTTGATCCAACATGGATGCGTCCTCGATTCTCAATGGACTCGGAATCTCATGATACCACTGACATATTCTGCTGTCAAGCTCCTCCATCTGTGTAGTGAACTCCTCGTTCCTGCTTGTGCTTGAGAACAGCAACATCATATCTGTAGTGGCTTCATGAAGCCGGCAAAACGCACAAAAGGCTGATGTCGTCCAGGAAGGCGAAGCAACAAAGTTTTCGGAGACTTCGGTAGCTTGAACAGGCTTCCAGGAGCGTTGATCGTCAACTTTATCCAGTATATCCTGAGCAGGGTAAGGACGTCGTATCAGAGAAGGCGGACGGCCTAGGGCCAGGCTGAGTGTCTTATCCCAGATGTAAGCTGAGTTGTACAGCCTCTTTCGAGTCTCTATCTCAGCAGCTGTCCATCTCTCAAGCCTGGAGAGCTTAGTGATGTCCAGGTGAAGCCCAATGTCTTTCATCATCCGTACTGCCATGCCGGTGTATAACCAACCTTCGGAGCTTTTCCCCATGGCACACTGGCGTCCGCCTAGAATCAGCAACCCCTGAATTGTAGGAATCGCTGGCTTCATGGCCGTCATTTCCTTCAGTAACAGCTCCCTTGCACGTGCGATGAATTGGTCGCCTCTCCCCACTCCAGCTGCTGCGGTAACTTGCTCAGGCAGATGTCGAGCTGCTAGACCGAAGATACATAGGAGCAAGAAATCGGTGCAATATGGTCCTCCGAGAGCCAGATCCATCATTAGGATAGGTCTGTAGACACAGCTATGAAGTGGATGTAGCCACGTCCAATAGATATCAAGAAGAGCCATGCCGAGAGTGGTGTCGATGCCGGTGCCGTTCATTGCTGGCTTCGCAGCGATCAGAGGCAGCCACACCGAGTCCATCAAAGCATACTGAGACTGTAAAACTTCTACTTGTGCTCGCTTTGGGTCGCTATCCTGATGTTCGCCGGTCAGGTGGGTTTCCTCAAGGGAGCCAGCATGAAAGCGACTTGTCGGACCATTGTAGATGACAGTACCGTCCTCTCCGAGGCCGACCTGGAACCAAAGCGAACCCTCCGTGTCGGCATTGGCTTCAGCAGCACGACTACCATCGTGAGATAATGGGTGGCTGCGAGCCGTACCGGGATTCGTAATATCGGTATCAGGTGTCTCGAGGTCTGGCTGAGGCTCGTTGGAAGACCGAATCGGACTCCTCATTGATGCCTCTAGATTCCGAATGCGAGCATTTGCCTCTCGAAGTCGGAACTCGGTCGAGTTCTGTGCCGGCCAGCTGCAAGTCTCCCCGGACCGGCGGCATCCCGTACAGATGGGCCGATTCCCACTGCACTTGACCTTGCGAGCTTTGCAGCTTGAGCACGCAAATCCATAGCGGCGAGCTTTCCGGGCAGCAGAAGATGCCGAGGCGGAGGCTATCTGTGCTTTCGGCGTTTGCAGACCGGCTTCGGCATCTTCACTTCCGTCGGAGCCTGCCATAGGCCGGACAGAAGGTTATTCGGTGGTTTTCTGAGGAGTATCCAGTATTACTGTAAAGTGAGGAGACCGAGATCAGGCAAAGATGTGGCAAGTCGAGCCGAATATACTGGCAAAGTTGTGAAGGTGAGATGTGAAGTCTCAACAGTATTCACGGCATTTCCCCACAAGCCGCCTCCTCATTGCGGGGAAGCGAGGAGATGCCGACGGGATGCCGCTAACACACAACGTAGACGTGATCCTATTTGCCTAGGCCAACATAAACGCTCCCTCCTCCTTTTTAACTGATTCCAATTTCTTTGTTCAGCAGCTCGAACCATCAGGGACTGACAACCCCACTAGCATGGGCTTTAAGAGACAGAAGGGGAAGTGCGAAGAGGTGTATCCTCACATAGTAGCTTTGAGAACTGGGGCCGTGTCAAGCAAAAGAGAATTTGATGCACATATTAGAACTTCATCATCCTTATGCCGAAGCGATCATACATATTACATCTATTGTACGTGATGCATATCCTCATGCCTGGCGCCGCAGGCTAGGCACTACGTCCTATCAATATATACAAGGTCCAGCAAGGTTGGTGCCCATGTAGACAGCTCGGACATAATTACTACTCCTTCCAATAAAGCTTAAAGAGCGAATGTGACTGAAATCATTACACAGTGCTCAAGAGCGTTGTAACCAAGTTGGATTTCCTGACTATGTGCTCTGCACCAAGATCATGTATCCAGGCACTTCGGCACCTCTGAGTTGATTAAGTGTGTTCTATGTAGTCCTTGACAGCTGAGATCAGGGAACATATCGGTACAGAGGATGGTCATCGCCCTCCTCGGAAACTTCTGGAGGAACATAGTCCAGATCGCTTTTGCCGTACTTCTCGTCACGCTTCTTGTTCTGCAATCTTAAGCAAAGACTGAGAGTAGCAGCTATGATAGCCGCGCCAAACAATAGTCCAGCACAAATCCACATACCCTTGGAATACCAAGGTTGAGCCGATTTCGGGAACAAACGAGCTCCAAGAATAGGCCCACACTGTCCAACCATACCGAACAAGGCCAAACCTGCGCCGCGTTTAGATGCCGAGCCTTGATTATCCGTTACCCACGTAAAGGTGATGGCAACCGCCGGGAACACTCCCGCGCAAACAAGGAAAGTTGCAAAGTAGCGGACCCCAGTGCTGTGGATTGTTGCAAGCAGGACATAACCAATGGCCCCCACGGAACAGAACAAGGCGATAAAGATACCTCGACTCCTAAGACGATCCGAAACAAAGCTGGCAGAGACACAGACCACATACGCGGTCAGGTAGGGGCAAGCGGATAGACCCTGAGCACGAAGTGAAGTAAAGCCCATGGCCTCAAGAATCGTGGGTAGGTATGCCGGAAGGGATCCAAAGGCGGTGTTGAGACTGAAGATGATGATAGCTTGCAAGTAGTTCTTGTAGTCGAAAAACGCAGCGAAAGCTTGCTTTCCGTTTAGCTTTCCGCTTCTTTTTTCGCCGCGGCCTTTTATGGCGCGATGACTGATGATCTCGTTCTCGCGGGAGCTGAGGAAACGGCACTCGGCTGGGGAGGCAGGGAGGAAGAAGTATGCCACGACGGCGAGAATTATCGTTGGGGCGCCCTCTAGAATATTAATGAGTCAGTCAATAACTTTGAGTATCACTTAGGTAGAACATGGTTCTTGCCACACTTACCCACAAGAAAGAGGAGTTGCCAGCTGTGAATAGACGCCTTCACGTGCAGCAGGCCGTAGGCAATTGCAGAGGCAACACAGCTCGCAAGCGGTGCGAATGAAATGAAAAGCCCGTATCGGAGACCCATCTCACCACGATGATAGAAGAAGGTCAAGTATAGTGCGACAGCTGGGATAAATCCAGCCTCGAAAGCTCCAATCAAAAAGCGCAGAGCCATCATGCCTGCGAGATTGGTTGTGACTGCTTGCAGCATGCTCATGGCGCCCCATCCAGAAACCATCATTGCAGTCCATAATGGCAAGGGAACGAAAGTCCAGACAATAATCAACTGGGGGATTCGACTGTCAGCGACAAGAAGCCAGAGACTGGAGAGTCTGTAGAGAGAGTCTCACCCAATGAAACAAGATGTAGCCAATGTATAGAACGGTCACGATCCAAGAGTAATCGTCCGAAGTAATACCCCAGTCTTTCCCCATGCCCGCAGTGTATGCGTTCCCGACATTGCCGCGATCAATGTAAGAGCAGAAATTAAGGGCTCCGAGCCTGCGTAGACAATGTTGTCAGTAAATAGAAACTGTCTTAATGCAAGGTCCTGGCCAAGAAGACGCCCAGAGCTTTCCTGCTGGCCAAGAGTACTCACAGGGGTATCAGACTCCAATCGAGCTTTCTCAAGGCAGAGCCCTCTTCCTCGCTGGTCCAAGTGACCGTGGCTGTACCATCTCCCGACTTCAGGTCGTCAACAACATCAATCTCTTCCATTCGACCGCCGGAAGAAGGCTTGGCGTCTTCGACGTGGGTTGGATCCTGCTTCGCTTCTTGGCGCGTAGCTGACATGGTAACAGCAAAGTCTTGTAAAGAACCCGTGAAGAACTCTTGGGCGAATTGGTTAGAGTCGATACGGCCGAGGAAGGGCTTCTCAAAATTACAACTTGAGCTTCTTGAGGACGGCTTTTCGCACACTTTCGTAGGAGATCATAATGGACTTATGTTCAACTTATTCCAGTCATTGTGAGCTTGTCTCAAGTGGACCAAAATATCATCCAGACATCCGGAGAGAGGTTTGCCTACCCCACGGGGAAGGTTCCCCCGCCAAAATCTCAAGCCAACTCATACTAGGTGGGTAGACTAAGAAAGCCATCACACTAGGTCTCGGTATCAATGCCGAGTGATGTGCTGCAGACCAGGAGGCACGAACTTTTGGTAATACAGATTTGGTCAAATAAATGTGTCCATGGGAGATACCGAATAATCAAAAGAGATGGAGGGGGAGATACCGAGGAGAACCCCGCAGATCGGATTGAGTTACCGAGCTTGCTGTGTAAGATTCCGAACAGCCCTGTAGCGCAGGCTTTCGCAGAATAATCTGAGCCCTCGGGCGGGCAAATGGAAGGCTAAGCAAGAACGTCATATCCTCCAATAGACTGGCTGAGGACATCGGAGAGCTTCCGAAAGACGGCATTCATGAGCGTTACCCGATTTCGCTCAACTGATCTCGAAGGCGCGGTTTTAACTTGACAAGTCAAAAAGAACGCGTCCTGCCAGGGTTTCAACGATCTCCTGAGTGCATCGGGATTTCAACCTTTTTCAATTGTCTGTCAAGCGTACATTGCTCGCTTTTGCCATGGCGACCTCTAATCCATCAGATGAGTTCACTATACTCACCCCGAATGCCATGCTTGGCTACGGATATGACTCGAATCATTTCTGGTACGGTATTAACAAGTACAAGCCCAGCGCCATAATTGTCGACAGCGGCTCCACCGATGGCGGGCCGTATAAGCTCGGCATGGGCAAGATGACGTGCGGCCGCGGCTCCTACACGCGAGACCTCGAGCCCATTCTCGCAGCATGTTATCACCATAAGATCAAAGTCCTGATTGGCTCTGCCGGAGGTGACGGCAGCAACAAGCATGTTGCTGAGATGCTCGATCTGGTCAAGGAAATCACGGAAAGTAACGGATACTCATTCAAAGTGGCGACGATCCAGGCGGGAATGGATCGCGAATGGATCAAGTCGAGGATCTCTCAAAATCGAGTCGGGCCGTGTGGTCCTGTGGAACCTTTGGTCTCCGAGGTTGTGGATGGTGCTGTAGATGTTGTTGCGCAAATGGGATCTGAGCCGTGAGTCTGCTTATGGAATTGGGGATTGGATACTCTTAACTAACATGGAGTTGAAGATACATCGAGGCATTGAAGGGAGACCCGGACATCATCATAGGCGGAAGATCCTATGACCCTGCCCCCTTTGCTGCGTTCTCAATCTCCCGAGGAGTGTTGCCCGACGTTGCGTGGCACATGGGCAAGATTATGGAATGCGGCGGCATCTGTGCCGTACCCAAGGGACGATCAATGGTAGCAACCATGAGAAAGGAGTCCTTTGACCTCACACCCTTGTCACCAGCAGAACGATGCACTCCTCTCTCCGTTGCAGCCCATACTCTCTATGAGAAGACGAGACCAGACCGCCTTCCCGGCCCAGGCGGCATCCTAAACCTCGACAATGCCAAGTACGAACAAATCACGCCAAAGACGTGTCGTGTATCCGGGGCCCGTTTCGAGACGACGCCATATCAAGTCAAACTCGAAGGCGTTACCCATCTAGGATATCGCACGATCTTCATCGGTGGCATCCGAGATCCCATTCTGATCGACCAAATTGACGACTTTTTGGAGAGAGTCCGCAAGTATTCCCAGAATCTGTTCCCGGAGCTCGACAAGACGGAACAATGCCAACTCTTGTACCACGTTTACGGGAAGAATGGTGTGATGGGCCCTCTAGAGCCAGTCCAGGGCCGTCCCCACGAGATTGCGGTCTTGGGAGAGGTCGTTGCACCCACGTCTGAACTCTCACACACGATCGCGAACAACGTTCGGGCTTCCATCTTGCATTTTGCGTATCCAGATCAAGTCGCGACGACAGGAAATTTTGCCAGCCCCCTGTCGCCGCATGAACAGGATGCCGGGGCTGTGTTCAAGTTCAGCCTGTATCATTTGGTGGACTTAGACGTCGGCGAAGAGTCGTCAATCTTCCCCGTTCAGCATACGTCCATCAGCTCTTCCAAGTCATCAGCAACTCCTGAGCCGAGTCTTTCCAAGGAGAAGTTTGGGGAACTTGAAAATGGTAGCCTTGCACCTTTAACGAAGAAGACGGTGACAACAGAGGAGACCACGCTCAATGAGGTTGCACGCATTATCCGGTCCAAGAACTCTGGACCGTTTGAGATGACGTTTGATGTCATGTTTGACGACCCTGCCGCTTACAGGCGCGTCAAAGACTCCAATATCTTCACCAACGATACGATCAAGAAGTTGTACCGCGTCGACGACAGCGACATCTTGACAAATATGTACTTTGACCCAGCCCTTGCTTGGAAATGCACGATCAAGCGACCATGGCCCCAAGGCAGCGTTGGCGAGCGCGATACCCTCGGGACTCAGCAGCACGCACCTCTTCTTAGCATTCGAGTTCCTGCGGCAAAAGAAGTCAATGGATTTACAACAAATGGGGTTCAATCTGTCACAGGGGCTTATAATAGCGCTGTCAATGTAACGACCAAGTCCGTTTCGCGAGGAGATCTCACGGCGCAAGGTGTTGTGGAGGAGATCTGGGCAGGCCTCGGACTCCCTTCCGACTCCTTGAGCTCAGTGAACTTGGAGAACGGCGGTGCCCCGACCTTGCCATCATCATTCAAGGTTGGCATCCTCGCACAGAGCTCGATCGCGTTATCAGCTCTTGCCGCATCACAAATTCACGCCCTGCGCAATGCCGCTGCCGTTCCCAAGGTCGACGTTCCCCTTCAGCACGCCACAGTTGAGTTCAAGTCAGAGAGACTCTACACCCTCGACGGCAAGCCGACACCATCACCATGGGGTCCCATTGGCGGACTGCACAAGACCTCGGACGGCCATGTTCGGATCCACGATTCCTTTCCCAATCATGCCGATGGGATTCTTAAGATGGTAGGCCTGCCTGTTGGATCGAACAGACAACAACTTTCCGACAAGGTTGTCGATTGGGCCAGCATCGACCTTGAGACGGCCGCCACAGTGGAGGGAAAGATGGCGGCATATGCTCTGAGGTCCTATCGCCAGTGGGACGCCCTTCCACAGTCAAAAGCCATCAGTGACTTCCCCATCGAAATTGCTCAACTCTCATCAGCCGGGTTTGAGGGTCTTCCCGAGAGAATGGCAGCAGGCAACTCAAAATGCCTCCAAGGTCTCCGCGTCGTCGAAATGAGCCGAGTGATCGCCGCGCCCTTGTGCGGAAAGACGCTCGCAGCTCATGGCGCGGACGTAATCTGGGTCACTTCACCGAACCTGCCCGACCTTCCGACCATGGATCGTGACTTTGGCAGAGGGAAGAGAACGGTCCAGCTGGATATCCACAACCATTCTGACAAGGCCCAGCTCATCGAGCTGATCCAGACGTGCGACGTATTTGTCCAGGGGTTCCGCCCCGGCAGCCTGGCCAGCTACGGTCTGTCGTCCGAGGAGCTGGTGAAGATCAACCCGTCCATCATCATCGCCAACATGTCTGCATTCGGGCCCCAAGGACCCTGGTCCAACCGTCGAGGCTACGATTCTTTGGTGCAGACTTGCTCGGGCATGAATGTCTCCGAGGCAGAGCACGCCGGGCAGGGAGAAGCTGCCCGCCCGACACCCTGTCAAGCTCTGGACCATGCTGGCGGATACCTGCTCGCAACAGGTGTCACTGCAGCTCTATACAAGAGGGCGAAGTCGGGCGGATCGTACAAGGTTGACGTTTCCCTCGCGGGCGTGATGAAATACCTGCGAAGTCTGGGACAGTATTCAGGGGCTAGCGGATTTGAAGGAGTTGGTGACTACGAGAAGCCTGAGGACGTCCCCAGCGAGTTTTTCGAGACTCGAAAGACGGGTTTCGGCCCCATGACTGCAATCAGACATAGTGCCCGGGTCGAAGGTTGCGAGGTTGGTTGGGATGTGATGCCGAAGCCGCTAGGTTCAGATGATACGCAATGGCTGTGATGAGTATGGGCACTGTGGTTTATGCGAATCGAGACCATTTCGTGTTTAATGAAGATCTACAAATGCGGTAAACTTGCTGCCTCAATACAACATTTTGATCAATTTGGGGCAACGTAATAATGTGCCCTTGATGTCCTGTCCTCATCGGGCCTTCCCAAACCTATCCCAGTATCCGTAGGTAAACACAAACCATCCTGTTACCTGGTATCCCTGATCCAACGCCTTGCTAGTACCCATAAGATGCCTGACTCCTTGTCCTTCGAAGTCATACGTCACGCTTCTTGCGGACGAGACCGGCTCCTAACACGTTGACTTGCGGTGTTTCCCCTCCGTTCGCCGCTGCGGCCGCTGATTCGTCTTTAGACTTCTTTCGAATGAGCCCCGTACTGAGGACGTTAACCTTGGTCGGCGGCTCATCTGAAGTAGGAGTCGCGGAGTCCTCCGGGCGCTTGCGCTTAATAAGGCCCGAGATGACATTCACGGCGTTCGCCGAAGAGCCATTTGACGCTGGCGTTGGAGTCTCCTTCCTACCCACAACCTGCATGCCCCAATCGTCTCCCATGCCGACCTCGCTGATCCATCGCCGCGTGCCGCTAGCTGCGATCTCTGGTTTGGCAAAGTCTAGGCGTAGGAGAAGCTCATTGACTCTCTTGTAATCGTTCTCATCGACAATCTTGCGGCCCCTACCCTCAGCAGGCCAGAAGTAATAGGCAGTCGAGATTGGCTTGTCTAGCAGGTAGTTACGCTGTTGGGTTTTGATGCGTGGCTGTCTTGACTTAACAACTCCCGTCAAATTGGACTTGTTCTTCTTATGTTTGTTTTTGCTCTCGGGCTTCTCTGGCTTAGTCTTGGTCTTAGTCGGTGTGCCGGAAGGTGGCACGGGGAACAGCTTGCGAGGGGTGGACATGGGTGTGACGGGCCGTACTGCCTTCTGCTTGCTAGGCGTGACGGGCGGGTTGGACGCATCGAAAGAAGGGTTCGGCGTTGGGAGATTTGCAGAGGCACTGTCAGTATGCACTTGCTCGGCCTCCTCATCAAAGACAACCCAGATGAAGCCCGTGAGCCGACCGCTCGAACACTCTTGTCTGTATGCCATCATTTCCCAGAAGGTATCCAAGCTCTTCACGCTCTTCCATTGTCCAGTGGTCTTGATTTGCTTCGACTTGCCCGCTTCTTCATCCAGCTCGTCCCGGAATCGGGATTTCGGATCGTCTGGGAACCGGGGGATAAGGCATCGTGCGGGTACCCAATCGTACTCCTTAGTGTAATGCGAGATCTTCTCGAGAGCGTGACCCAGGACCCAATTTGACGCGCTCTTTGGGGTCTTGGGCAGGAAAGCCTTGGTTTCGTAATTGTCAAGTCCCGGGATGACGAGGTAGCCTTTGACAGTACCCCATGGAGCTCCTTTTCCCACGGGAGGGTTCTCCAAGAGAGAGTCTAGGACTTTGCACCACCACTTCACTAGTCCTCTGTCATCGAGCACATGCTTGCCACTGTACTCGACAGAGCCAGGGAAGAGGTATTGATCTTGAGCCCGAGCGAAGAGACTAACGATGGATTGAATGCCCTTGCGCCTGCGCTGCTCGACCAGGTACGAAACAAAGGCACTGCTAATCTCCTTGACTGGCGATGAGGTGCCTTTGGGAAGGTTGAGAAGCTTCAGGTAGCCAGTTGAATCGGCTTTGGCAACGAAGAAAGTGCTGGAGTATGCAGTCGTGTAGATGTAGACCTCTAGCGCGAGGACAAGAACTTGCTTCGAGGTAGTCTCCTTTGCTTCAAGGGCAGCGTCGGTAGTGATTGAGGGAATATCGATGGATATTGCAAGAAAATGCTTTTCGCAAAAGGTCTTGTCTTCTCGTTCTTCGGGAGGAGCTGAGTACAGGGCGTCCGTCTTGGTCGGAGGAGTTGAGAGGTGGTAGATGCCAAAGCGGTAGCCCTTGGGCAGAACAGCGGACAGTTTCTCAAGGAGAAGAGCACTGCTCTGGGCGGTGGCCTTGGTTCGGCTTGGAGTCGCCATGATGCTTGAGAAAGGGAAGCTGTTCAGTTGGAATTGATTCTCCCGAAGAGATTGTCATGCCATAGTTGTCAATTGAGGAGAGGACTGAAAGGAATTGAACTTGAGGGGTTGGTCAAGCAGGCTGAGCAAGCTGCAGGACCGTCCCTTCCCTTCCTTTGAGGGACGCGTCGTAGCTCTTCACATGCGTGTCAGAAATAAGTGGAGAAACGCGTTGGGTTTAATTGAAAGGAAGCTGCGAGCATTACCTAAGCCACGGAGTAAGGGACGTACTCACTAAGTCACTGGGGACCGTGCTCGACTCGGAAAGGTACTAGGCCACATGACGACTAGCGCCGGTCGCTGCCCGATCCGCCTTCCGCGCGATGCCACGTGACGTCGAGAAATTGTTCCGAGCGCCCATCGCGAAAAAGTTCCCAGCATCAGGAGCTCTAGCTATACGACGGTACGCCCACACCGAAATTCGCACCACACCGTCGTCCCTCCCTCGCCGACCGCCCCCAATGGCAATCAACGGCTCCCGGTCAGCATATAGCCTCACGAGGCAAGCCGCGAGGCATTGCCAATCAGTGGCAAACTCACGAGTCGTCTCTCCTATCCAATGCCTCTCCCGATCCTTTGCGACGACCAGCTCCCGAAAGGAGGTCGAGGCGGAGAGCAAATTCGATCAACTGTCACGGAAAACCGAAGAGGCTGAGCGGCCCGATGAGATCAGACAGCGCCCGAGATGGTCATACACTCCCGAGGGAATGAAGGCACCCTTCTCGCCTCATATCACCAAGAACCCGGCGCGCAGTGTTTGGAAGGTCAACGAGGATCCCAAGAAGCTGGATCAGATGTACGTGAAGCTTTTGGGCAGAGATGGAGACAAGATGTTGCCGGATGAGACCAAGTGGCTGGCGGTCACGCACAAGAGTTTCGACCAGGGTCGCCGGGGATTCAACGACAAGCTGGCATACTTGGGTAAGGACACACGACTTTACTCCCAACCAAGCTTCAGTTGCGACAATTAAGTGCGGAGGGGGAAAAAAAGGCACACGAAGCTGACTCGAGCCGTTGGGCAACGCATTACAGGTAGACAGGCGGTTATTCTCGAGACCACGAACCGCATAGTGACGGGGACCGATTCCTCGAAGAAGGCAATCGTTCCGGAAAAATCGTATCAGCGAACACCCTTTGAGCACCCTGCTCTCACGAGAGTCGACAACCTCAACGCCGAGCAGCCCCAGAAGGTCGTTACGAAAGAAAAGGTCGAGGCGCTGGCGCTCGCTGCCGGTCTTGACAAAGTTTTGCGATGGAAGCCGGCAAAGGTAAGCCTAAAACTCATAGCTCCCTTCCTCCGCCTCATCGGGCTTCCCTCAGGAGGCGACGACACCCTCTCCTGGCTCTTTTTTCTAACAATTGTCGTCTCCAGCCCGAAAACCTTTCTGGCTCTGGCCAGCAAATTGTTCTCAACTCGGCAGTCTTTGCTATCGTCGGAGCCATCACCCTCCAGCACGGCGCCGAAGTGGCAGGTAGAGTTATCAGGGACAGAATATTGAGGCCGCTCTCGGCGAACCGGTAAAGCCGCTAGAAGAGAGACGTCTGTTGTATCATAGGTGTAAAACATTTGACAAAAAGGACATCAATCCCAGCTGCGGCGCAAGAGAGGCAGCGGAAGCAATATTTTCCTCGTTTTCCCGCAGTCATGACGCTGTGCTGTCGCCGGACCGCGCATAACAAATGTAACAAAAGGATCAGAGATGAACGAATATAGAAGTATATCCCAATGTGGAAGACGCTTTGCCACTCAACTTACTCTGGGTTCCTTGATAGGACCCGTGGTCAGGTGCATGACGTGGGAGATGGTGCAGTCCGGGGGCTGCCAGGCGAGCCTAATGACCCATCCGTCGGTTGTCGAGTGGAGGGCCCAGGCGAGGTCTCCATCGCGGATACGGGTAGTCATTTCCATCGTGACGAGGTTATTCACAACCGATTGGTCGACGCCTTTGCCAAAGACCAGCGCCTTTCGAACCATACTGTTGTTCGGGGTCTTTGCGGCCATGCCGGATGAGGCACGGTGCCAGTCAAATATGTGAGACCCAGAGCCAGAGTCACGTAAACTAGCGAGACCAACATCGCCGGCCACAGCGTGTACATAGCCTTCGCCGAGTGGACGGGTTATCTCAGACGTGGATCTCGTGCAGAGGACAAAGGTTTCGAGGCAGGCAAAGGATTCATTCAGGGTAGCCATGCCAAACCCTGGATCTGGATCAACCTGCCAGATGCTCTGGGGCCAGTCATTCGATCCGTAATGCGCGACCCCTCTACCCAATGGATCGTGGGCGAGCAGGTCGCTGGCAAGGATGGGCATAGTGAGAGACCTGGTAGCGCCCTGGTAGAGCACGAGGTCCCAGTCAGGATTGATGTAGATCCGGTCCCACGCCGGGTTTCTATGCTTCAGATCCGGGAACCCGTGGCTGTCGGGCGCCAATGACCTCATCGGCAACCGAATCCTGAAGAAGGACACGGCTTCGCGGCGTGACTCGTCGCACACGCGAAAGAGCGCCGGGCTCCTGTTCTCGCAGTACCAGTGTGCGTTGCATGCCATGTTGCCCAGGTTGTTGCCGGAGGCCTGAACGCCCGAGCCGTCTGGTACGCCTCTGATCACGACGATGCGTGGCCGTTCCAGGTGCATGCGCCAGATCTTGCGTCGTAGCTCATAAGGCAGGTCTGGGAAGCGATGAAAGACTGAATCTTGTTCGTACCCGCAGCTGCTGCGGCTACTGTTGGGGATTAGCGATGCTGTGTCTGTAGCTGTGGTCATAGTAGTCGTCCTCGGCTCGCTTCCCGAAGCGGCTACCCAGGTCCGCAGGTCGAAACCTTCACACGCCTCTAAATTCTTCCAGGGTGTCGAGGGCGTTTCCCGGACGGCGGGCGGAGCATGGATGTCCGTGATTCGGAGGCCCCCATCTTGGTGCTCGGCCTCAAACACCTCGGCGTCATGCTCGTCTTCAGCCTGGGGAGGCGGAAGCTGGCGTGATGTTGACCGAACTGGTAGATCCATCGCCTGATGTGACGGGGCAGACGCCGTTGAGTTTGATAGACTGCCAGCGTCAACGGCGTTGAGAGTCGGCCTTATTGCGTCCGCGGGATCAAAGTGTCAGACAAACGCTAAGTTTCTGAAAAGTTCGGGGGACGACGCTAGCGGGAGCTCAGACGACCTCTGAACTAAGGTAAAGTGCTTCACTGCGCAATGGAAGATGCCGATTGGCGATTGGATCAACTGTATCAAGTTGAATATGAGTGTATCCGTACAGCCTCAGTCTCCAGTCTGTATCGTGGTGTAGCCTCAAGTGTGGGGTGGGGGGCAAAGGCACTGGAAGTGGAAATAAGGGACGACGTGTGTCTGACAGTTGGAGAAGGTTCCACGACAGTGAAATGCGTGATGCGTTTGGGCTTCACAATACGAACGCGGACACGATGAGGTGGTTCCCCTTTTGAGTTGAAGAGACGGGGATGGTGGGAGTTGTCGATGAGTTAATAATCAGCGCCACCTCGTTCTAGAAGGGAACCTCTGCGGTCAACCGGCTGACTAAACTTCCTCTAGAGGCACCGTACTCGGCTCCGTCTTTTGCAGCAAAAGACCCCTTTGCAGGGAGTTACCGCTTTTGGAAATGGTTTGCGGGCAGTTTGCGAGAACTGATGGGAGAGATTCTACCGCAAGCCAGGGGCAACCAGGAAGAGGCCCGGCTGACATGTCTGGCAGTTGCATCTTAGCGCCTGAATGACGCTGTGACCCGCCAATGCCCAAGTCATTCCTTGTTGTTCATGAGTTGTGTCTGCTGGTTTCCCCTGTCAGATTGTGTCAGATCCCATCAAGCACTCACAGACAGACTCGGCACACAAGCATGTGTCTGCCCGACACCATCCTCATCGCCACGGCGGGAACCGTTATGATGTGCTACATGGGTCCCTTGTCCAGGCTTTAACCTCCTCTTTGGTCGTCTTGGAATGATTGCAAACAGCCTTAATCGCCATTAGGTACTCTCAGCCGGGCTACAGCTACAGTCTACGGACGATGGGCATGGCCATGAGCCAATCACCGCAGAGTCTTTGCAACTTCACACAACCGTCTGAAACTTGCAAACACCAGCATCTTCAACTGACAACCTGCTTCTCCATCGTCTGTGGCTCCCATCTCAAACTCTGCTCATCCCCCTTTTGCCCTTCCTGGCGCCACGCTCCTAACTACAACGTTCACTTACTAGTACCAAGTATCCTAATGAACGACTTGCCTTATTGGGCCCGTATCTCGTATACGCATTCCCTCTCTAGTTCGCATCGCTCCAAACTACTCTGTTCAAGCTTCAATGTCTTCCACGCGGCCCTTGTCGGTACTCGTACGCATCGACACCATGCTACAACAACATAGCCGTCGAGGTCGATCCAATTGAACACGACTTTCTTTTGACTTCGTTTGACACAAGCCTATGGCTTACTGTAACTTTGCAGAAACGCTCTTGGCTTCGACCTGTGCGCTCTTAAGCCTGAAAATGACAGAACTCTCGCGGCTGTAGGCTATACCCCAGCTTCTCCCCGATAATGACTGCAAGTTCCAAAGATGACTCTGCCACTTGGACGATTAACGTCGTGAGACCCGAGGCCGTGGCTGCAACTCTGCCACTCCCTTCAATGATTTGGCTCCGGCTAGAAATGTCTGGGATTCTCGCAAGGAGCTTCCCACCTTTCCGTGTTCCACTCCAGTCCACCCCGGTGCGGACCATGTCAGGGTCTGAGTGGAGCGGAATCCCGCCGCATATGGCAAGTGGCATCTCGACTTACCCTGAAGAAAGATCGACGCTCCATGTTTTAGGCTCGAGGGGACCATGACCATCAGAGCTTCTTGTATAGATACGTCCCTATCCGTCTCTAGATGTTTCTACTAGATGTCGTTGGTTCTTTCACCCATCTGGTCATCATTCCCATAGGTGTTGGTTCAAGAAACACATCTTCGTTTCGTTCGTACACGACTGCTGGCAGCCCTTTTTCTTTCTAGTTGACTGCCTTTGATACCCCACCCTGTTTCTATTAATGCCACGGGAAATTTCTTTTCACGCCTATCAAGCAAAGTCCATTACTTCACACTTCACATCAACATGAATATGTACGACAAAATATCATCACCTGAGGATGTTACGGAGAGATCCCAGGCTCCTCCACCTCCACCAGCCCCAAGGCACCAGAGACTAACAACCTTTTGTATCGGTTTCTTGATGATATTCTCCATCTTCAGCGTCGGCAGGGATATCAAAGACTACTTTTATCAAGACCACAGCCTCAGCAGCCGATCAATGGCAAGACGGGACCTAGGTTCCTGGGGCCAAGCCATCGACGCAATTGTAACCCCAGACACTGTCGAAGCCATCGGCAACGACCTAAGGCTACGAAGGACATTAATGTCCATGGTCGATTACACCTTTGACCTCACAGATCAACTAGCCGCCCGCTATGAATCTCCTCAGCTCCAGGAGACAAGAGAAGCATTGCAAGAATACAAGGAGCAGATCAGGAGGAGCCTCGAAGGTCTGAGAGACGACGAACAAAGCTCGCCTCAACTACACAAACGACAGCTTCCGAGTCTTGGAGAACTCTTTGGAGCTGCCGTCTCTGGAGGTAGCGCCGATGGTGGTGGTGGAGGAGGAGGAGGCGGTGGACTTCCCAACCCATTCAACCTTCCTCTCCCTGGGGCACCGGGTGGTTCTCCAGGCGGCGCTCCCGGAGGCGGTACCGGTCCCCTAGGCCTCCCTGGCCTCCCAACTCCAGGCGGCGGCGGTGCCGATGGAGGGGGAATGTCAGCCGGTATACTCAGTGGCCTCCTCCAACCCCTGAAAGACGGGCTGAGCAACGTCGGAAACCAACTTGTCGCCAACCTCAACGGTCCAGGCATGTTCCTCGGCATTGGTGTCGGGGCCGGAGCGGCTCAGGGGCTCAACCTGTCCACACAAGCAAAGACGATGGAAGTGGCAGCAAAGGTTGCCGCAGACAACAAGATGGAAGCCACCGGTCTCAACCCAGCCATCCAGAACCTGGGCGTCGGGCTAACTTCCACCCTCATCGGCGCCATCGACTTCAACAGCCTAGGCGGCAATCTCACTAACCAGCTGCAACCTATCGCTCTGTCTCTCGCAACAGGTCTCGGAAACGGCACAGTCGCAGGCCTGAAGCTGAACGCAAACGCCGCGAACCTCGAACCCGTAAACGATTCGTCCATCCCCAACGTAATCGGTACATTTGGATTCGGTCTCACAAAGACCGTGACAGCCAACCTCGATATCAACCAGCTCTTCAACTCGGCCAACAACCCCAACACTACCAAACAAATCATGCGTATCCTCCCGGCCGCGGCTTCGGGCTTCGGCAAGGGTCTTGGCCAAGGAGCGACGGTAGGACTGGGCCTACAGCCCGACACCGCGGTACCGATGCAGCAGATGCCCGACGACCAGATCGACTTTGGCGGTATCTCGCAGACCTTCGCCAAGGGTCTGACGAGCAGCTTCCTCCAGAACGGTACCGCGACCGAGT